GTTGACAACCAAAAATAAAATCTATAAAAGATGATAATTTGTATTATTTGATTTTTTTATTATTAATTTGAATGTTTTTATTTTAGTATTCTTATGATTTGAGAAAGGATAATCATTTTTTAATGTATAAACTATTAATTTAAATGAATTTTATTCGATATTTTGTTAAAATTTTTCTTATCAACCTTTTTGAATAATCGTATGGGATTTTGAATTTCTAAAATTTTTCTTATTTGTGAATACATACATGCACGAAAAGCTATATTAATATTCGTAATTCGATTTTGTTTGTAATAATTAGTTGGTTCTAATTAAAATAGTTTGGTAAATGTTGAATTTTATATTTGTTATCAACAAATAAAAGAAAAGTTTAGGTGGGTGGCAGGTGTCTTTTTCTTGTTCCTCTGCATCTAGATTTAATACAATGTAATTAATACATAAATTTTGGGTTGTACCCTAGTTTTTTTTCGGTACATTAGGACATTTGATTCTACTGAAAAGTAAATATTGCACAATATCTTAATAAGCACACGTAATTACTAAAGTTTGGTTTGCTTCTTGGAAGTATATTAATGAGTTCACTTTTAATCCAATAAAATAAAATAGAGATCGAAGGACATTGACAAATACTCGTATTGGTATATCATGTGTGCAAATCGTGAAGAGCGTGTGATGTTTGCGGCTCTCGCATTGCAGTTCTTAGACTTGTCGTTGCTACAGTTCATTCAGCATCTGTGTAAACGGCTTTGAGAGCGCCGCTCTCTTGGCGGCGCGTGTAAATTAGAATTTCAGGGCTATCAACTTAGGGTGGGTTCCACAAGGCCAACAAAAATCCCTATCTCTCCCTAGAATCCACTCAAACAGTGACGACCGGCTCAACGTTTGGGGTCCTCTCTTTCGAGATGGGAATTCAATGCAAAAGCAGTTGTTTGGCACGCTGCGCGCATCCTTATCAGAGAAGTGGTGCACCTCCCTGGCCGTAGGAGAATCATTGCCGTACGACTAGACCCCACGTGGCATTGCCTTTGTGATTTGGTGGCCCCATTCTGCAGGAAAAGGAAAGTTGTTGTTCCTCTGTTGCTTGCCTTTTGTGTAACCTTCTTTTAATGAGGGATCTTGCACCGTTAAACAGTGGCTGGGTCAGTTTTTCAAAGGGATGCGTATTGCTTCGTTCAGATTGTGCTGGAATCTTTGCACTTTTAACGGTGGCTGATTCGGAGGTACTGTGTGAGTGAAAAGTATTGAAAAATTTTTTTTTCTCCCCCGCCGTTTACGTTCATCATTTTTCGTGGAGGGTAATGATCAGGTGTGCTCTGTTTCCATCGTGAATTGCCGATGTGGAATCTTTGAGACTTGACACTTGGCTTTACATCAAAGAGAGGCTCTACTGTCACCCGGTTATGTGGCAAAGCACGTGACTTTATCTACTTTTATATTCGTTTTGGGATGGAATTTTTTTTTTTTTATGTGCAAATACTTTGGGAATACGTTTGTTATTGATTTATATTTGGACGCTGATAAAATCATTGATTAATTTTGCCTTCAATCCTGGTTATATTAGTAAATCTTTGTCTTATAGTTGGTTTACTTTATAAACTCAAGCTTATATTAATGTTATATTAGACAAAATTTTCAGCTAATATTATGCATGGAGATTCCATGCTCATAATTTATACTAAAGGATAAATGTGATGACGAATATGAAATAGTATGTGATTTATGTAAATTAATTATGATACATAATTATCAAAATTACAACTAATCAATTTTCTTGCATATGGGATGTAAATCTCTAATCCGATCAAATCAGACATGATTTGGCTATTTTTGGACGTACATAGTTCATTTTTCGACATTTAGTAACCTACAAAAGAATTAATTGATGTTAGTTGTGGTGCTGATTTTAATATTTTAGAAAAAAGGGTCAAAGTTTGAACGCCATTGAATTTTTCAAACAAACATAGCATAATTTCCAGAATAGAGTTAAGGATGACAATACTTGTGATATAATCGGATATTTTACATTATTTAATTTAATTAAAAAAATTAATTTTAAATTTATTTTTATTTCACGTTCAGATTTATATTTGAATTTTTTATGAATACCAATAATCTATTTTAGATATTAAGTATTAATTTTTAATTAAATTCAAATAACATACCAATGAATTATGGCTTAATAAACAAACTGGAAATGGAAACCAAGGTGCCAAAAAACAATAATGATTGCTGAAAGAGATGAAAACAGAAACCATTATAATCTTGATCATTTGCGATAAGTTAAAAGAGTATGATGGATTACAAATAGCGAATAACCAAAACCGCGTTAAAAGGAATCCAATCTCCCCAAAAAAAAAAATGGCTATCCTCAAATATTTTATGAAAAAATAAAAAGAGAAAAAGACAGGAGAATAACATAAGAAACAAAAAGAGAATATATGCTTCTAGAAGCAAGAACAAGGCATATCCGTGCGTAATAATATTCTGTTCCCTTTCCTTCTTTTCGGAAGGAAGGAGAAAAGAAACAAAGGGGTAAAATAGATTGATATTTTTAATTTTTAATAATAATTATATGCGTATCTATCAATATTCAAAATGAATAGTTCATTTTAAGGGTATAAATGACGTTGATCTTTAAATGTGAAATGTTTAAAATATTTTTTTTTTACAAATAGGTGACGACACTCTTTTACATCGACCGGTTATCTCGTAATCAGATTTAATCGTTAAATATCAAATATAATTAGATTTTTTTAAGAGAGTAGGAGATCTGATTGTGCACCCGAAATCTACTCCCCAAGAGAGCGTCAATCACCAATCGAGGTGGTCAGTCGACAATAGATAAGTAGAGAGAATTTTTTATAGTAAGAAAGAAAAATTTAAAAATAAAAAATTATAATTTATAAAATGATCATTTTTAAAATTAATAAAAGATAGATTATCTTAAAAATATTATTACGTTGTTAAACTAATAAAAACATTAACAATTGACTAACGATAAGACTTATATATTCAATGAAAAGTATATTTTAAAATAAATTATTCATTTTAAATATTAATAAATTTACATATAATTATAATCAAAAATTGATATTTCACTCAAAAAGAATACTCCCTTCGGAGAAGCGTTTTGTGAGTTGCCAAATTGTGATTTGCAAATGGTTGATTGAAAATGAGAGAGAAAGGGGGCCTTTTCTTAGAATAATTAACAAACATGCATAGAGGGGGATGCTTTGCTTTATAGGAGACTTACAATTAAATATAAGCGATGATGATAAGGGACCATGGACCATGCCCACAAGCAAACCCTATTCCTTTGATTTCCTTGTAGAGAGGTCCATAAATCTTCGAGAGTTCTTGAATTAATTTTAGGTTAATCATAGGTTAGTTACTAGTAATAGAATGATCGAGTTAAGAGGTTTTTTATTTAGATTTATATATTCTCAAGAATATTGATTTAAATAATTTGGTGTTTTCCCATTCTTCTACCCTTTTATTATTAAAGGGCAAAACCAGCTCATTTGCAATTGTTTGTCCTTAGTCTTAATTTCTATATGTAGTAATGCTTCAATTTTTTATATAGTGGTTCTAACTTCTAGTTTAACCCAAAAAAAAAAAAAAAATCCAAAGCGTGATATAGAGACTTGATGCAAGTGGTTGAGAGGGTGGGGACTTAGGAAAGACATTATAAATTTGAAGAGGCAGTCCTTATTACTCAGGAGTCATTTCCTATTACTTTTACACTATTTTTACATTAGGGTGTTGCTGTTTTCTCTAGTAGAGCACTTATGATTCTCAAAACTGCAAGGAAGTTTAGTTCAATGGTGCATGACAAATGTGTGTTTTGAGATATAAAAGTGGACTACCCATGTCTCTTAACTAATAATAAAACAGATTTTTGGTACATTAGTAGGATTAGATTGTGACAATAAGTTAAGAAGTATATGAATTGACACAAATAAGATCCTTGCTCTGAATATCATTATATCGGCAGGACTATACTCCTTGACTAACTTCTGTTGGTCTCCTTTCAGTTGGGTTGAGATTAGATTTTAAAAAATATATTCTGAAAATATAGCTTTATCGGCCTTTATGGAGTAGATAAGGTAAATGATTTGACTGTTGTTTGCCATCATGGATCATGCAACCACACAAATCTTGTTGGTGTGGGTTTGGCAATAAAAGATGGAAGAAAAATGGATAGAAGAGAAGGAGGGGAGGGGTCTTTAAGCTTTATGGGTTTGGCAGGAAGACCTTTTATTGTCACTAGAAAAGCAAACGATCACAATCTGTATGCAACTCATCCCACTATCTATGCACCATTTACTCTTCTTTAGTTTATCTTTCCCTTTCTCAATCCCTGTTTCGGTTTTGATAGATAGAGACAGAAGAAGGGGGGGGCACCCTAGGACAGGAAGAGGAGCAGTAAACAATGTCACCACGTGCTTTCTTCTTATTCTTTTTCTGGCCTATGACTCTATGTCTCGTAAGAAGTAGGACACTCGGACACATTTTTGGCCTTTGTTTGTGCCTTGTCCATCATTGTGTATTATGGGGAATTCTTTTTACCAGAAATGGAATAGAATACGACCTGTGGTCACTGCGGCTCGTACCATGCAACCAAAATTTTTCTCTATTGCAGACCGAATCGATGAGAAAGCCAATCAAGTACTGATAAAAAAAGTAGTTGTGACTCAAAATGAGAGCAAATAAGCAATGGACAGAACTTATGGTCGCGGTTCTTTGGTTTTTTTTTTTTCATTTGGGGGTGGTTGTGTCCCTCATCCTAAACGCTCTGGTCAAACACAGAAATCTACACCAGATTCCAGAGTTTCTCAGTCAGCTAACCCTTTTAACATTTTTGGGTCAATTGTTTACCTCATAATTGCATCTTGGATATTTAGTGGGTTATCTGGCGAGCAATATGGATAAAACAGTAGCAGAGTGCTTTAATATGCTACAAAAAAAAAATTCCCTAAATACAATTTTTGAGTGAAATGTGTTCCCAATAAAAAGACGCATTCCCATAATTAACACAAAACAAAGGGTCCAAGCTTTACATGAGACACCTGCAAACCATAACAAAATCTTGACTTTCACCTATTTACAATGCAGGCTGAGGGTAAAGCTCAGAGGAAAACGTATAATGCTTATTCCGTTATACAAGGAATCAACTTTCAAACTTATGAGCCATATGGATTCTAAAACCTCAACCAAATAGATCACCTAGACCCCTTTATCTAATTTCTTTACATACAGCCTTTGTGAATGCAACATGGCGCATCTACCTTCTTAGACTTCAAAGGAGAACGGTCAAAAAAAATGCATTGCTAACTTTACATCTGTCATAAATAAATTCTTGCCAAATAAGCATTGCCATTAGTGAGTCTCTTTCAGTTGTTTCCTCCTCGAACCCATCGTGCTGAACCAGTCTTTGCCAAGCCAGAATGGTAATCACCTACATTTGCAACAAATAGTGGATCTCTATCTTCAACTTTTAACTCCTCACTGTCACTATCAGTGGTATTTCCCTGATCTGTCCGCTCCAACGCTCTTGTCAGATCTTCCATAGTCTTCTTCAAACTAGATTTGCTCATCTGTCCATCTCCAGCTGAGATGCCAACCATTGTAATCTTTGGTAGAAAGGGATTAGCTTGAAAGTTTTGCTTTTTGCTTTCCTTTGATGGGCTTTCCATTCTAAAACAACAAAATATATATGATCAGTGTAACAGGTAAGAATGAAACAATAATGACATTATATGAATAATAAAATATGGTGGTACGTTGCCTCTGACCTCTGTTTAGGTTTCCCTTCTCCTTTCAACCATGGATGACTAAACCAATCTCCAAAAGGAAATCCAAAATCTTGTCTCCGTCCATTGTCAGCTTTAACATCATCGACTAATTTGAGCTCTGAAGTGCTGCTCTCCGTTTCAGTGTTGGAAAGGCATGCAGCTGACTCAGAGGCTCTAAGAAAAGAGGCTGCACTCCTGCAATAGTGTAAAAATTGCAGAAATCAGCAACAATAAGACCTAAATCCATGTATTTTTGACATTGCAATCTAACAGAAATGAAAATAAAAGGATTGATTGCTTAATTCTGATGTACTTAAGAGGACAAGTTTACAAATCAACCAACCCCCCACCCATATACACACGCACGCTTTTTCTTTTCTTTTTGTCCTTTTCCCAGAAAATTATATGAGAAAGTTCTCCAAAATTCAGACTTTCTGAGTTCATGTACGACTGCAAAAACGTGCAATGCTATGTAGACAAGCTAATTATTTAAACATTCAGAAAACCTCACCAGGGACCATTGACTGGGTAATTTGGCAAACTATAAACACAATCTACTTTAGTGAGATTTTTTTGGTTGTCAAGGAGTTAAGGCAAGCATAAATCACTCTGTAGATATTTAACATCAATTTATGGTGGTGAAAAGTGAAAATGGTATAGGAATTACCTTCTCTCAAATGAATCAACCATATAAGGAAATTTTGGTTGAATGCCAGACGCTTTCCGTAACCACCTGTTACCCAGGAGTACTTTGTCAACAGCATTGAGAAGCTGAATCTCAGCAGCCTTTGAAATGACACTCAAGGGTATGGCAGGATGACCAATCTCATCCAAAACATCTTGAACCTGTGAGATAATGCTAATACAGCAGTCAAAAAAAATAATAACCCTACTTTTACCATTAAAAAAGAAAAAAAAGAGACATCCAATATTGTCTCCTATTTCTTGAAAGTTTATTTTGAATGTCTTTATGGTACAATAACAAGCAGTGGACTCATTTGACAGGCATATATTTTGAGGTTACAAACAAAAAAAAGAGAGGTTCCAATATGATTTTGGTAAATATTACTCTAAATCCTGCAGAAACTACACTTATTTCTCAGAAAGCCCCAGAAATTGAGCAAAGGGTAAAAAGAGATTAATAACAACTGAAATATTTCATTATTCCACCAATCTCACAATGTTCCTAAAATCCATAACGCCTGAGATATTTCCTAATCCCCACATTCAATTTGCTTAATCACTGCTATTTAAGTTTCAGTATAATGCATAACTTAAAACTAACAAATTTGTACCTCTGGAGGCTCCCACATGCTATCTCCAATTTCTTCAACCACTTCAGCTGCCAAGTTATCATCAATCACATCACGTCGACGTTGCATGTGTCGGGTTTGAATTAAAGCATGGAAATGCTGATCAACAGATTCTTCAAGAATATTATCCAGCATGTTTTTATCAAAGAAGTATGGAGTATACCTGATGGGAAAAACAGTGAGCTCAAAAGCATCAGATACAGTGACACAAGCTTAAAGATGTTTATTTTCCTGTAAATGAGAGGTAGAGGGAAACTCTATGCAACAAAAATATAGAAAATCCTCTTGATTAATACAAGGGAGAAATGAAGAACAAACCACTTAATCCCTTCTGTAGTAGCTATTGCAATATCCAAGTTTCGAGCACCAAAAACAGGCACACCATCAACCTTTCTCCTTTCACCATCTTGTGGGATTGCCTTAAGAAGCTTGTTGGCTTCCTTTACCTGTAAGAGAAGTAAATCTTTTTTTCTTTGAGAAAATGTCAACATACCCTAAGAACTAATTGATTGAGAAGAATAAGGACAATTTTCAGATATACATGCTCATGAATTGATAGTACCTGTTTCTCATTTGGAACAAACTGAAATAAGTGAGGTTTGTCCTGCACAGAGTATCATGATAAATGTCAAAATTAGTCTGCAGAACAACATTAAAATTGCAAATTCGCAATTAGGTGCAGCAAGCAGAAATTTTTATTAGCAGATCCAGCACAATATGCAAGGTCATACATCACATGATACTTTTGGAGAGAGATGTGTTGCTCCAATAAACCAAAGCATATTCAAACCTTCAGGTTGACTACATAAATTATATTCCCTCAAAGCACTTTATTAGGGGCAATATCTTTGTCAATTTCCCACAAGATCATTCATTCACCAGGCAATTCTTATTCACATACGTTAATGTTTAAACTTAATATAACAAGGCACAACAGTAGAAATGTGATGAAATATGTTCTTGCATCATAAATATGCAGTAAAGAAGGCTATAAAAATGCCATCTATGATTTCTACCGTCTTCAAGCATGCTAAATAAAATAACAAGTGGCAAGAAGATACTGTTAAATCTTGCAGAAATGCGCATAAGCTGTAACAGAATTACAGTTCAAGTAATTATGAAGTAATCCAGCCAGGGGCAGAGCTAACCAACTTTTGTTGGGAGGCTAAAGACAAAGGAATTAAGGTTAAAAATTTCAAAAATTAATATGTTGAGAAAATAATAGTGTATAACATGTAAATCAAGAAAAGAAAGAGTTACAATAGTCTTTTAGGAAAGTTTTGCTT